GTTTCAGCTCCGTACAGTAGAACTGTCTTGACGTTGGCATTGAACATTGTGACTTTGATATTGGTTGAAAGTTGTTTTGAGTTCCATATGTTCTTCAATTGAAGGGATGCGGCTCCTGCTTTGCCAATCCTCGCCTTTAAATCTGCATCCGATCCTCCTTGTTCATCAATGATGCTTCCCAGGTATGTGAAGAATTCTACATCTTCCAGAGTTTCTCTATCAAGTGTGATTGGGTTGGTGTTCTCTGTGTTGTATTTGAGGATCTTGCTGTTTCCTTTGTGTATACTGAGGCCTACTGATGCAGAGGCTGCTGCTACACTAGTAATCTTCATCCGCATTTGTTGGTGTGTATGGTATAGAAGGGCCAGGTCATCTGCGAAGTTCAAATCTTCTAATTGATTCTGAGCTTTCCATTGTATTCCATTCTTCCCTTTAGATGTGGAGATCTTTATAAGAAAAAACATTCACTCTAGTTCCGTTTATCTATTCATAAAACTGACTGCTAAGCTGGTACTTCTGTTTTGGTGGTGGTACATAAAACATACCCCTTTGATTTACAAATATCATTAGCTTTATTTTTTTAAGAGGTGGAAACCAATGAATTTACATCACAATACAACATTCTACAATTATCTCTTATACGGAAATGCGTCTTTATCGTTTTGTCCACATAAAATTTTGACTACATTGCGTCTAAAGTCCTATTATTATGGAAGACATATTTAATATTAATATCAATAGCATACATTCTTTGAAAAACTAAAAAAACATTGAAAGTGAGTTTCCCAAACATTTTAATTCTTCTTATTTTAAATTATATTTTAACCGCTGATATCTTTTATTCCAAACTGATATTATGTCTTAGGAAGAGTCATTGAATTAAGTACCTAACTTGTTTCTATGCTAATAACTGATTGTCATTTTGACATGTATTATATATAATATATAATATTGCTTATACAAATAAAGTTATCCCCTTAACTACTAACATGAAAATTAACTGGTGATCATGCAAATCTACAATATTTTCCTTTGTTCACATTTTAAAAAAAACTCGATTCATTAATGACAAAATTGGCTTTTTATTTTTATCTAAACAATTAAAATGAAATAAATTTTTTGATAAAACAAACTTATTTATCAATGAAACAGTATCTCTTTTTTAAATGACAATTATTGGAAATAACTCTTAATTGGGTGTTTTTCAAATCCAAATGATGATCAGTTATGGATTATATTTTCATGAGGTTGGTTGAAGTTAGACATTAACATCGTTGGATTCCGGCTCAGTGGTCTAGTTGGTTAAGCGCCTGGCACGAGACTGATAGGTCCTGGGTTTGAATCTCGTAGGGGGCGATATCGTAGATGCACACTGCTGTGGAGTCGCACAGTAGGACGAAACGGCCGTCCAGTGCTTCCAGGTTTTCCATAGTGGTCTAGCTTCAATCGACTCATGATTTCAATCAGTGAAATAATGATCAGTTATGGATTATATTTTCATGAGGCAAAAAAATTCACTTGGTGTTGTTTTGCTTGTATCTTCCGATTGCTATTTAGGACTGTAATTGATTAGTCTCATGTTGATATATGTGCATACTGTGCGGATTGCCTCGATATAATCTTAAATCACAAGCTTTTTAAGCAAAGATGGATAGTGGCTAGCAGTGGGATCCAGGACGCTCGTTTTGTCCTATTTGGGACTCGTCAGCTGGATATACCTGCATCCCAGAGTAGTTGTTCACACAAAAAGACTAAAGAATGAATAGAATTTTTTTTAGTAAATTATCCTTTTGCTTTAAACAGGAAGAAAATATTTATCTTTCAAAATAGTTACATTCTATTCTATTTAACTTTAATAAAAGTACTTATCTAATGGCGAAATTCATTGATATTATTCATTTGTTTATTGTTATGATTTGTAATAGAGAAATTACTAGTTGAATACTAATGTTATTATGTATGGAAAATTAATAGACTTTATAAAATAGATTATCCCATTACTTCATAAGTTATCTATTACCATATATGGTATAAGAAAAAATAATGACAACTTTTAATGTTTTGAGATTAAGGTAACCATTATGGGAAATTTTGGTGATCATAGACTGTTTATATAACTTCGAAAGACAAATAATTAAATTCATGTATCAATTAAACCTGGATCACCATGAAATACCTGGAAGCACTGGGCAGTCATTTCGTCCTAGTATGGGACCCCTCAGCAGGGTTCATCCATGATTACCCCCACGGGATTCCAGTGCAAAACCTATTGATGGGAATCGTAGATGTGCACTGTTGAGGAGACCCATACTACAACGGAACGGCTGTCCAATGCTTCCAGGTATTTCATGGTGATCCAGGTTTAATTGATACATGAATTCAACTACAAAAAATTACTAATATCTCCACAAAACCCCCTTCTGAAAATAATTAAATGTATTAAAAGAAATAGAAGTAAAACTCAATAGATTTGTCAATTTAGCTCATCGAATTATTGTAGTATGGAGAAAAGTAATAATTTTAATACTAATAACATGATCCCTATAATATTTATTACTCTATAAAATTAAACAAAAGTAGATTGATAATTAAATAAGTGAATACTGTTCTAGAACTATACACCTAATAATATCACTTAATTTCTTAAATTTCTCTTAGAAACCAATAAGTTACATAACCACTGTATGGTAAATATGAGAATTTCTTGATCCACTAATTCAAGTTAACAATATGTTTAATTGTCAATATCTGTTATATAGTTAGTTGATATATCAGTATATTACAATTCTTTTATATTATCTCTATTAATTATTATTGATAAAAACAATACAAGATGAATCTTGACATTCTGGTTATTTGATTCTATACAATAATAGTAAGTTGTATAACATAAAAATATTCAGTAATTATATACATATATACATCGTTACCAAAATATTGAACATTAAACATTTTCCCTTTTTTCCATCTAGTTAAGTCAACTAGTTTTGACACACTAAACTTCACTAACAAATGTCGATAGTTTAAATTAAAATTGTCACAAAGGAAAAAAATATGTGTATGTGACAGTATCTTATATTTTAAATAGCCCACACATTACTGGTTAATAACTGGGAAAAAAGCTCATTTATCTTTTCACTACTGTTAATCAGTTCAACTATCGTTCTTTTATCTTGATAGATGAATTCTTCTCAACGTAACTGTTCACATACATATACATATTTACAAAAGCCCATAGATTTTCTTACATTAAGATACATATAGACACTATTCATACATTTTACGTAAGGTGGTCTACACAAAGTATTTTGGCGCCATTATCAATATTCACCATAGAAGAAATAATATGAAAACGATGTTTAAATGTTTGTATGTTAGTGTGTGATTATTTAACATGATATAAATTATGTTTTCAATATTCATATATGTATATAGAAAAATTACCTTTAAATAGGCGAAATGTTGGCGATAGATTGTTTACATACTGCTGTTTGATTTTTTGTACAAAAATAATCCATTCAGTATTTTGAATCATAACAACAACAACAACAATTTTCATAATAATAATAACTATTATTTTCATAACAAAAAGAAAGCACAACATTTTTTCACCCCCCCCAATATATATATATATATATATATATTTGCTGACATTTTCAGCTTTGGTAAATTTACCTAGACACTATGATATCTGTGAATGTGTATATTGTGTATTGTAAAAAAAAATTAAATACAAAGAAGCAAATGGTGGGTACTGCTTATTCTTTTTTTCCCCTCCAAATATATACAATACATATATGCTTGAATTGTTAAAAATTATTTCTTAAACTGACACTTTTTTAATAAATATAATGCTAATGAGACTGATAACAGTCATACGATTTAAGTTTACACAAAATATTTTGGATTTTTTTTTCTTCAGTTTTCATTGAAGTTCAGTTGCTTTGGTGTTTTTCTTTTTCTTATTTAAATTTCAGTAAAATAAATCTTTGTTACACAGTCAGACATGTAGGTGTATGTTTATATGTGTATAGATAAAAGGTTCATTATGTGTAAAGTGAAAAGTTTTCCTTAGTAGTAAACTAGTCATTAACATTAAGTACAAATCATGATCTCTTTTATAGTTACATGCGCATAGATTATTTTGAACTATTTAAAATTGTAATGATTTTGAATCGATCCACTGTATGCTTTATAGTAAACATTCAGTTATGTAATAATTTCTTCTTTTTTTTAACTGTTAGTGGTTAATTTAAGGTAAAGTCTTCCAAAATGTGTATATAATAAGATGGTTAGTAAAAAGTAATGATAATAATAACGTTACGATCACTATTAACTTCTTTATTAATACTGTAATGAACGAGAACACCAATTAGGACAAACAAATGCATTTTAACATAACATTACAGAATATCTTGGTAAAATCTGAGATCTATACAGAAGTACTTTATTCGCAAAATATCTATCGATTGTCTTAGACTTTACTGTTCCTTCGTTTCCATACCAATCATCGTCTGTTCTCTTCTCTTCGATTTTCTCAACCTTCTGCCCCCAGGTATTTCACTTTCGATCGTTGGTACATACTACTTATATTTGTCGACATCAGTAGCACACACCACAATACTACGTATTTGATTATAACAAAAATTTATTAGGACAAACCTGTACATATTTAAAATATTAGTTTTTTTTTCAACAATTAATGGCTTGCGTCTATATTCATCAAGAAACCTCTCTAAATGTTTTGTTCTTAACATTCTTTTTCATTACATAACACATTCGATGTATAAATTCTAATTTAATTATTTCATGTTTTTCTAGAAAAATTAGATAAAAATGATAAAAAAGGAATAAAAAAGGAATCTCTCGATGAATTTCCAATAATAAGTCATTCTTAATTTTAGGTATTCTTAAACTTGTGAATCATTAATTAATATTAGAAATCGTCAGTGCAAAATTTCTTCGTAAATAATGGTCTATATGAATGAAATTATAAACTTTTACGTAATATAGAACTTTCTGAAACCGTTAATCAAATGCAGTGGTTGAATTATTATTACTGTTACTATTGTTATTGTTATTCTTCTTATCATTATTATTAATAGTCGTCGTCGTCGTAGTAGTAGTAGTAGTAGTAGTAGTAGTAGTAGTAGTAGTAGTAGTAGTAGTAGTAGTAGTAGTAGTAGTAGTAGTAGTAGTAATGATGATGATGATGATGATGATGATGATGATGATGATGATGATGATGATGATGATGATGATGATGATGATGATGATGATGATGATGATGATGATGATGATGATGATGATGATGATGATGATGATGATGATGATGATGATGATGATGATGATGATGATGATGATGATGATGATGATGATGATGATGATGATGATGATGATGATGATGATGATGATGATGATGATGATGATGATGATGATGATGATGATGATGATGATGATGATGATGATGATGATGATTGATGATGATGATGATGATGATGATGATGATGATGATGATGATGATGATGATGATGATGATGATGATGATGATGATGATGATGATGATGATGATGATGATGATGATGATGATGATGATGATGATGATGATGATGATGATGATGATGATGATGATGATGATGATGATGATGATGATGATGATGATGATGATGATGATGATGATGATGATATGATGATGATGATGATGATGATGATGATGATGATGATGATGATGATGATGATGATGATGATGATGATGATGATGATGATGATGATGATGATGATGATGATGACATTAATGGCAGTCTTCCAATGAAGAAATGAAAACACTAGATTTTGCACGAATAGTTTATTAAGTTGATAATACGTGGAGTGAATTCGTTTAGCATTGTAAAATCACTATAAGTAATGAATAGTTAGCAAGTTATTCATTCACGAAAAATCAACTCGTTAAACTCTTTTGGTTATTGTTTTCAACTAACAAATTTCACTGTGCTTATATGTTTAACTTTGATTTATGAATAAGGACTTCTTTGAAAAACAGATTACTAAATAATGAGTTTAATTTTCTTTCTATTTTATTTTTATTGTTAAGATAATTTTGTGAAATTTCTGTTCAAATTTTAGATAATTATTACTGACCGCTGATACAAGTGTCACTACTAAATGAAATATGAAACTCAACGAAGTAATCAGCGGTTAAATACTGTTCTCACCATAATCTACAGGCTTGACGACTGACTTTCAACTACAATTCCATTGACAGGACAAATGGATAGTTATAACACCGATCACTTGTGAGAAAGATGAGAACTATTCATTTTGAAAATAGTGTAGGAAGCTTCTACCTCATTTATGGTATGCTAATTCTGTGAAGTCAATTGTCCAATTTTAGGCGGCTTAAGCATTTCAAATATTTAAGTGAAACTGGCTAGTAATCTACATTGACGAACGCTGTTTACTGTCCAACGTTTAAGTTATATTTGCTATTCTCTTATTCGACTATAGATCATCGGTTTATATTTATTAACTCACTACTAAAATGTATGTAAAATCAAGGTGACTGCATTATCTTAGTTACTTTAGTAAAATACATACACCAATTAATATCGCAATTAAATATCTAGAGGTCAAATGGATGTACTATATAAATAAGTCAGTCACGTGCTAACTAGTAATTTACATTCCTAAATATGAGTACTAATAGAATGAAATCAACATGATAATTTGGATCATTACACTAAATGCTAACTAGTGCACGTGCGTTGCATGTTGCATGTTTCCCTTTACTATATATATATATATATGACTGACATTTTATCCTTTTCACTTCCAAATAAAATATAAATTTTTATATAAATGAAGTTTCTAGAGTCAACTGTCAACAAGTGAACTTATTATTGTTTTTATTTATTCAGATTTATATATTAAGTATTCCATGAACTGATTGAAGATTACAACATACCCAGTTTAAAAGAATATCAATGTCGCCATAAGCAACAATATCTCAATAATCTTCATTCTAGTCTTCTAGTTATTTTTAATTTGTCAATATGACTAGAATTTTAAGCCAATAGAAATGTTTAACTGTATCCACCCCATATATTATTAATGACTGAATAACCAATGATTTTCAACTGTACATGATATTATGATACTGTATGAAATTTTTCTTAGGGTGTGAACTAAATAGTTCTAGATGAAGTGTGTATACACTATACATTTGCGTATTCTATATAATCATGATAGTGATTAGAGTGGATGATCGCGTGTATCACTATATGATAGGTGATGTCGAGACTGAGATACCAGGGTTTTTTTTCATCCACCCTTATTTTAAAGCTGTGGATTATATGTACTTCTATCTATCTTTCTTACTTTTCTTGGTTCTTTCTCTCAATGTACATAATTTCTCTCTCCTTTTATAAAAACTTTCTCTCTTTCAAATGAATGATAAATAGAATTATTTGATAATGGGGGAAAAGTCACTTACTCTAGACCTGTCGACTGTAGGTCATAAGGCGCCAAACTTAATACCTTGGCGACAATCTATCGGCGCCATTAGTCAACATTCAAAGCAGTAGTAACCTTATGAATACATCCTTATGCTATGGAAACAGAAAGGACAAATCTATACAATTTGACGCCGTCAACACTTATATTTCTCAAAACATCTAACCTTAGTCGTCTATCAATAGATTATTACTTTTCAATTACAAAAATTATTACTGTATACAAATTTCAAGAATTTTTCGATTATGTATTTGAAAAATGTTGGCAATTAAAATATTCAACTAAACAATTTGGATCATATCTTATATTGTCTATCAGAAAAACATTCATTTTAAACAGGATATGTAAATGTATTACCGTAAAGTTAAACAAATCTATTTTATTCATTATTTTTAATAATTCAATTAATAAATTAAGTTTTTTAATTATTTATTTAAAATTTATTATACGATTTTTATTGATCACTTATTGTATTTCATATAATACTCAATCAGTTAAGCATTTAATTTATACAAATGTCAATGATCATAATGATGACAATGATGTTGATGATGGTGACAATGATGATGATGACGATGATGATGATTATGTTGAAAGGGAACCACTCATTAAATCATCAATATTTCAATCGAATGAAAGTGAATCAGTGAAATTTTTATCATTACCAAATGTATTATCTAGAAAAAGTTCAAAGAAGGTTAGAAATATATCCAGATTGAATGTTCTTACTTATTTAATATGGATTATTATAATTGTTTTAACATGTACTATAAAAACTATTGAATCTATTGAACAAATTCATCATTCACCTAAATTATCAAATGAATATAATTTAATTAATCTATTACAATCATTAACAACAACTGGAAAACAAATGAATTTAAATATTTTAACAAAATCTGAACAAAAAACATGGAATTATTTATTAGAAAAACTATTAAAATCACAAATAAATATGATTAAAAATAATCCATCTATAGATTATACTTCAAGTATAACGACTATAAGTAGTAGTTTAAGTAGTATGAATAAAGAAACTTTCAAAAATAATGATATTCAAAAACCATCTAAAGAAGAATTAATAGCTAAAACACCTAATTATATGTTTAAATTACATGAACGTCATATGAATGATTGGCATAGTTTTGGACGTTATGAATCGAATCATTTATTACATCCTGATTATGTGAAATATTTGAATGACAATTCAATTTCAATGGATAATATTGATTTATATAAAGAAAAAAAACAAAAAACTCATCATAATCGTCATCATCTTGGTATGATTACAGCAATAAGGCATCATAAACATATAGGTAAGTAAGAATCATCTACTATTTACAACATATTAATATTTGATTTCATGAGTTGATCTAAGCTAGAATACTATTGAAAATCTGGATGCGTACTGCTGAGAAGTCCCATATGAAGAAGAAATGGTTGTCTAATGCTTCTAGGTTTTCAGTGGTGGTCTAGGTTAGATCGACTCATGAATTCAATTATTAAAATACTACAGTTTTCAAAAATCTCCATTCTGACTTTAAATTAACTGATTCTTTTACAACTGTAATATGGTAGTATAATTTAACAGGATACACTATAAATTTTATTTGTAGGTTGGAAATTGTTATTTTCAGTATTTTATGGTACATTGAATGATGATTTTAATAAAAAATGTGAATTTAGTGTACTGGTGAAAACATTAGAAAATCATTATGACTAATGTACTTGATAAATAGGTGGGAGGAGAATTCTTTCCTTTTTATGGAAATCTCTACATTGACTTATTTACCTGTGGAGTAGTAGGTAGTTATTCGTTTTGATTAAGAATTTTTTGAAAAAAAAATACTCAATTGATGTCAACTACTTGATAGAAGAGAAAATTTTCAAAATTGAAGTTTATGATAACTCTATAGTTCGTATTACTCCATAAAAATCAGTTTCATAGTGAACAGATCTTTGTAAATCATCTCTAGCTGATCAATGTTGGAGTAATAATTATCAATGGGTTTTGAACGAAATAAATTTTGTGAGATTTTTATGACAATATTTAATTTATGAAACTGACAAATCTCGAAATAGTGTAAAAGTACTACAGATATATAGCCTATTCATTGAATGTGAAAACTAGATGTTTGGACTACATTTTAATGGTTTAATAATATCCTATTTGTTGAAAACTTTCCATATGTTTTGGATTATAACCATTTGTGTGATAATAATTGAAGATCAATACAGAACTCCAAACTGGTTCAAAACAAGTATCAAATGGTTCCTGGTATTTTTTTTATCAGATTTTTAGCTCATATAAATGCTTGGTAAAAATCACTTGTGTACTGGATTAAATTCCTTTTTTTAATCATCAACCTACTATCATTGTGAATTTAATACAGTTAACATTAATATCATACTTACTGTGACTGTAACGGATTTTCGTTACAATTTCTTATCTGTGATCCTAATCATCAGCCTGTTATAGTCAAGTTTTATGATGAGAAAACGAATGAATTCTAACTAAGCATTAAGCGTTCGTGCGCGAGACTGAAGGCCCTGGATTCGAATCCCGCGAGCGGGATGGTGGACGCGCACTGCTGAGGAATCCCATGATAGGACGAAACGGCCGTCCAGTGCTTCCAGGTTTTCAATGATGGCCTAACATCAATCGGTTCATGATCTCAATCAAAAACTTAACAATCTCCACAACCCCTAAACTGCTAATGAGGAACTTTATCTCTGATGGTTAAATGAAAAATAATTTAAAGATTGGTCGATTTATGTCTAGATTTTCCGGAACATAAGAACAATATAATTATATATAATTAATATATTGCCATGATGTAGTGTTTATAATTTTGAGGAATTTTTTTAGAAAAGAAAACTGATTAAACTTAACTCAGTCGGTTATATGAAACATAAAAAATTATTATAAGCAAATATGGACGTGCGTTTCGTTCTATTTGCAACTCGTCAGCTGGATGTACCTGCATCTCAGAGTTGATGTTCACTCCGGGACTCGAACCCAGTACCGTTCGCTCTGAGATTAGGTAGATCCACATGAAGAGTTCCAAATAGGACGAGACGTGCGTCCTGGATTCTACTGCTAGCCACCATTCACCTTTGTTTATAAAGCTTGTGGCTTAAGGCAATATCAAGGCAATCCGTATAGGGTGCACGTATTCCAACAAGAGACTGGTCATTTACATTCCTAAACAACAATAGGGAGATACAGGCAAACAACAAGTCAATTCATAAAAACTTATTATTTGTTTGATAAAGTGGTCTC